CCCCCCTTGTGTCTGTAGAGCTGGAGGAGGAGTCTCCTGTCATCAACTGGTCTCTGGAGCTGGGCACCCGGCTGGACAGTCGTCTGTACGCCCTGTGGAACCGCACGGCCGGGGACTGTCTGCTGGACTCGGTCCTGCAGGCCACCTGGGGGATCTACGACAAGGACTCTGTCCTCCGCAAGACCCTCCATGACTGCCTGCATGACTGCTCCCACTGGTGAGACCCTCCGACCCACACAGAGCCTATAATCATACAATCCAAGAAACATGCTATGAACTAAAACGCCATTTTTTATTAAGCAACGTGCCACATCTCCAAAGTGTTGTTGATTTCTAGAGCAATTGGATACATGGACTCTGGGTAATCTGAATAAACTACTTCTAAAATTATGAAAAATACTTCAATTTGACACATACATCTCCCCCAAAACAATGTGTGTGATTGGTATTAAAACTAAAAGGTAGTTAAGACCTAATTATTAAAGAAATGTGCAGTTTAGCATATAACAAGGCCATCCCATTGACAAAAGGTTGCATTTGAATAAAAACATTTTAACCACCAAATATCAAAATGTAGTGACAGGTTTCTGCCTTGTTTTGCTTTCAGGATCGTTAATGCTGAAGTTATATTTAGTTTCGTTAGATCAAGGACATGTGGATGCACGTCCTAAAATGTGCAAAATGTTGTCCTTGTTGCTGCAGCCAGTGACCCTTTGAAGCCTTGGTGGCAGTTTAGTGGTCAGAGGCTCAGGGGAGAAGCATTTCCTCAGGATATTTACATACTCCGATCACAGACAGGTTTGATTACTCACTATGCAAACTGAGCTTTTTGCTCATTATGTACAACTAGTTTTCCTTTTACTGCTAAAATGTTTATTTTACTCAAAGCATTTAAAGCCAGGTATTTGATGTGATATGCCGTACTGTGTCAGGAATGTTCGTTATCCACTTCCTTTCGTACATTCTTGTTGAGATACTGTAAATATTTTTGATGAGAACTAACGTTGAAAATATTGTCATGTCAATGTTTTTAGGTTCTACACGCGCTGGAAGGAGTGGGAGTCGTGGTACTCGCAGAGTTTCGGTCTGCATTTCTCCCTGAGAGAGGAGCAGTGGCAGGAGGACTGGGCGTTCATCCTGTCTCTGGCCAGCCAGGTAATTACGGGGTTCCTCTGCTTTACTCACATCCTCCGCCTCACTATCAATCCTCCCAGTGTGCTGTGGTCGGACTGTAAGAGGCTGTGAGCTTCTTAGAAATGTGTGAGGAGATGGAAGCGCTCTCACAGGCTAATGGCAGCTTAATGACCAACGAGTTGCTTTACATTTCACCAAATGACAATGCGTGAATTCCTCTGAACTGTCACACATGTTTAAGGCCTTCCTTTCCTTTCAAAACCCTGCATTATTTTAGTTTTCTAAAGAATATTAATATACCCTTTTGAACCTTTGTCCTTTCACTGTAATTTACAAGCGCCACAAACTCTTAAATTTTTTTTTAATGACCTAAAATTGAGGGGAGGTTCAACCTTCTTCTAAATATTACCAAGTTGAGTTTTGTTTCAAACATACTATGATCTACATACCCTGGCTTATTCATTATTTGCATCAACATTCTGAGGTAGAACGTCTTAACATGGATGCCATGTTGTCACTGCACAGACTCTCCATTTGAAACACAATCACTTCTGAGTGAATGCACAAAAGGCTAGCAGCCTTCTCTCTGTGTATCAGCACCGTCCGTCTAAGTGTTGCTCATTCATTTGAATGACAGCAAAGTCAATGACACTGAACGGCAGACGCAGCAGGAAGGTGGATCTTCTGTGAATGACAGGGAGGACATCAGCAGTTATTACAGATGGAGCTGGAGAGCGACGGACAGCTGTCAGGCTGCTGAGTCGGCACTCCTCCCATCATGTGACCTTGGGATTAGAGGCATTTAGAGAGAGCCACTCCACTGGCAGTACAAACAAACACTGCAAATCCACCATGTGATCATCTGAGATCAGATCCAGAAGATTTGTATATCCATCCCATCATTGTGGATGACTATATTTAAAAGCAGTGGGCTTTCTGCTTATACAACTCAGAGATGAGAGAGAGAGAGAGAGAGAGAGA